GCGACCATCCAGCCAGTTCCTTATCCACCGAACAGTCCATCCATCAAATCCATAGCTCTCCAATTTAGAGAGAAGGATGTTGTGGGGGACCGTGTCAAAGGCCTTGCAGAAGTCCAGATAGATGACATCCATTGGTTTCCCTCTGTCCACCGTTGACGTCACACCATCATAGAAAGCCACTAGGTTCGTCAGGCAGGACTTGCCCTTGGTGAAGCCATGCTGGCTATCTCGAATTATCTCCCTATCCGACATAGAAGATCAGGAAACCTGAAAATATGATTGGGGTTCAAAAAATGTTCAGATTTCTAAATTTTGTGCCCCTAAATTAATAAGACTGTTCCTCTTCCCTAAGACTGTAATGGATGTGTTTCTGAGAACACCTCATGCTTGTCTCAGGACAGTGATGCCAGGACTCAGGCCAGGGCCTTGTTAGTGAACTCATAATTTCTCTGCTGCCCTAACCCCCATAGCAATTAACTCTCTTTCATAAGATGTGCTGGAGCACCTCCTGAGGGTGTTTTCTCCCTCTCTTTCTCACAGATGAGCCTGTCCTGCAAAGGTGTCTGAAATTTCCATTGAGGAAATCCCAGATGAAAACAAGAGTGAAAGTGCTGTGCAGAGCATGTCCAGTGGATGTGATCAGCCTGGATGTGCTGCACCCCTTCATATAAACATGCAGAGCATGGGCACACATAACCTTCACAGTAAGGTGAGTCTGATGCGCTAGCCTCACTGTGACTCTGTAGAGGAAGCCTGTCCCTCCCAAGCCACCCATCCTGCACGTAGTTGTCATGCACCCACAGTGAACTGCATAACTGACCTTGTAAGTTACAGGGAAAGTAATTACACAGACCATCTTTGTATGTTGAGTGGCCATTTGCCCAGTTTTCCTGAAGTCACAGCAGCTAGTTTGATCTATTGCTTTCACTGAGATGAAATCCAAAAATTCTGGAAAAAAATTTCCTCCTTTTTTGACAAGAAACTATTTCCATTGCCTCCTAAAAACCAGTTGCTTACTACATGCTTAGTGCATGTAAGGCATTTTTACTGTTAGAATAACATCTCATCAATCTCTGTAAGCAGCTTTTCATCTATTTCTCCTTTCCCTGATCTTACGCTAATGAAAATAAATGGGGTATAACATTTGCCTTTTCTTTGTCTTGCTCTGCATATTCCCTAAAGCAAAACCTGAGCTCTTAAATTTTTCCAACTCAAAATTAACTTCTACTCCTGTAACATTTGAATGTGCCCAAATTGAACATGTGCAGTGTCTTACATACAATGCACATGTGTGTGCACGCACATGTGTGTGCGCACACACACACACACATAGCTTTTGTGCTGAGGTGGAGGCTGCTTGGTGAAATGAATTACAGATCGCAACCCTCTTTTAGTGAACGTAGGTCAAAGAGCATTTGGCACTGATGCATACAAGCCTTAATAATGTAGGTATTCTCAAGTAATAATGTGTGGAAGCTTGCCCATGATAAGTTCCTTCTATGCTTATAATACAACTCCATTCCTCAAGACTGAAAATCTGAGTTTTCTCATTAGCTGAAGTTTCTTTCTTTAAGAGATTCTTTCTTAAACTACAATGTTGCTTCAGGTACCACTGTTGCCAAAATAGCTGTGGTCATTATAAAGGACTTCAATAGAAGTGTTTATTGCCAACGGGAAGAAATTTTGTGGTAACTTTATGTATATCACTCAAATTATCTTTAGGAGGTCCCTTTCCTTCCT